ATTTATCTATTTCCAGGATTTTTTCCTTACGCTATCAACTCAGACACATACTTGCACTAATAACATAACATGCTTTATTTTTCAATTTTCCTACAACCACATTTTCATTATAGGCACATGTAGCTCAACAGCTGTCTTCCTAGACGCTTCGGTAACATCATTATATGGCATTATCATCTACGCACACTGGAAATGCACGTACATGCATTCATACGCACCCTGCGAAAACATTTCCAGCTCTGTTTCAGCCTGAGCTGTGGAAAAAATGCCAGTCTTTTGAAGCGTATTAAATATGTTCTGAATTGCCCAAAACTGCAGATGTAAATAATACACTTCAGACATCTCGATATAAAATTAATTTAAAATTTCTGGTTCTATATTTCCCAAATAAGCAAATATAAAATACTATTTTATAATTAATAGAAATAAAATGCGATATCGAATATAGATGAGGAGAAGGTATATAAGGAAAGGGCTAGAAAATATAATTTATAAGAATAGTGTAAGAAATTTTATGTGGAAATATATTTTAATCGCCAAAGAGGGCGTAAATCTTTCATGATGTATATATACTTCTTGTTCTTGGATCTGGCATCCGCCAGTTGAATGTGTGTTAGACTTGAATAAACTTGGCAGTTTAGAAACCTGATTTGTAGTGTTTATGTATCTTGATGTATGTGTGATTCGAATTAGTGTTTTTTGAACTAAGATATCTTGCAGTTCTTGACAGTTATATAATATTTTATATAATATAATAATATAATATAATATTTTATAATATATTATATTATAAGATAATATTTTAATATATATTTAATATAATATATAATATATATGTTAATATAATATTTTATAAATAGAACTGAAGTAAAAAGTCTGTGGGAAACATAAATGTAAGAGGAGAATAATACTGACATCGACATTCCTCAAAAATGACGTGGTGTAGACTGGAGAATAAAAGAAAATAGTTAAATGAAGGTAAAGGGAGGTGACAGAGAAGAAACAGCGATAGAACATCAGAACAACAGAAATGTCGGAATTTAGTTTTATTTGCTACCATTTTAAGAAAATGATATGAATTCTATCACACATTATGTGACAGATTTGGATCATACATTTTGTGTGGTTGAACACATATTTGTGCATTGCATGCGTTGTATTAGTGCATTCCCTTCATTTGTGCTTTGACTATTCATGCTCACATTGACAAGGTTGTCTAAATACTTAAAATTAGTTAACCCGATTTAGATAAATGATTATATTGGATAACCCGAAAAGTTCTGCGTATTTTGATAATAAATAATAAAAATGAAGTAATACAAAAGCATAAAATCTTTCATCGAATTTCATTTGCCTTTTTTCAGGCAACTGGAAAATTCTCTTTTTAAAATTGTCGTTAAATTTATTTCTAAAGAAATTATCGGCGTACTGTTTGACAGTCTCCAAGAAAGTGAAATTCAGACCATTCAAAGAATTTTGAAATGACCTGAGATATGAAAATCAGAGAAGACAAGATCTAGTGAATATGAGAGATGACACGAAACATCTCAGACATGCTTAATAAGTTTTTGTCTGAAATTCCTTGAAATGTGGAGTCGAACATTGTCATGATGGAAGACAACACGTCGAAGAATGGCATCTTCTGGCCGCTTTGCAGTGATTTTTCCTTTTTAAATCTGCCATTTGGAAGTAGTATATTTCCGAATTTATTATCTGATTTTATGGCAATAATTAATAGCATACAGTTACTTTAATTATCTGATGATCCTTTTATTTTAACGTTATTGTATAGCCATCATCTCCAATAATGAGCCGTTTGAAAAACATAACCCTTTTTTCCGTTCTTTTTCTCTTACAAAGAATCACATGTTAAAACTGAGCAAGCATAATCTGCTTTGTTAAAGTATAGGATACGCTTACAGACCCAGGCTTCTTGAAATGATCATGTACTGTACTTTTTGGGATATTTATTTTGCCTGATAGTTCCTGAACTGTGAAAGTTGTACTTTCAGCCACAGCTTCTTTTAAAAGTCCAAGTTTACAGTATGTTCGTCCAGAGTGGGCATCAAATTATTTCGATATTTATTTATTATATTATCATATTATTTTATATTACCTTATTATTTTTAGGCTGAAATTTACAAACTTCTCAAACCACCCCCGAAATGGGTTATAAGAAATAGCACTTTTCCATACGCAGAGCAAGTTTTATGAGTGGTCTGAGTTACATTTTCGATTTCCTTTTTAAAAATAAACGAGCATAATATGACGTTATATATTCTCCCTTATCGACATGTCGAGTTCTTTCTGATTTGTATATTGTAAGTCAAGTCTGTTGATATTTCTTTACCCGATAGTTAGTGAACGAATTAATATTAATTTTGTTTTCGTTTTTATGATATTTTAGAGTTAAAAATGCCTCGCACTTATGAATATAAGGCAGTACTCGGCAAATGGAAGCCGGAAGATATGGCGGCTGCCATACGAGAGGTGAAAGAGAACAAAATGCCGCTTGCAACTGCGGCCAAAAGATTTGACGTCCCGAGGAACACATTAAGGGCCAGGGTACTAACAGGTGCAGTATCAAACCGGCAAATTGGAAAGGGAGCAACACTAGATACTGCTATCGAAAGAAAACTAGTTGAATATATATTACTGCTGGATTACAAGGGGTTTGGTATGACCATAAATGATATTAAGGAGCTAGTATTTAAATTTTCGGAGAAAAATAATCTAACGCACCGGTTTAACAAAGACAAGACCAAGGCAGGATATGACTGGGTATATATTCTTTCTTAGAAAAAACACCCTAATTTGTCAATAAGAAAAGCACAAGGCCTTGTCCTATGCACGTTTCTGAGGTCTCAAGAGAGACGAAGGACGAAAACCTTTTGACATTTTACGAAAAATGTATCATGCGTTGAACCTGTGGAAAGGACCGACAAGAATTTTGAATGCCGATGAAACTGGACTGCAGCTAATTTTCAAACCTGGCAAAGTGATTTCTTGGAAAGGCAAAAAAGATGTGACCCACGCCACGACAGGATAAAGGGGTCTACTGTTACTGCTATGGTTTGTAGCAGCGCAACAGGAAGTGCTATCATGTCATAATCTTTGTCATAATGGAAGGTGTTAGGCAAAAACCGTCTTATGCCAAAGGTTTACCAAATGAGTCAGCGTTAGAGATGTCAGACTCTGGATACGTGACAAGCGAAGTCTCCAACAAATTTCTTGACCATTTGAACAAACACAAACCACAAGGAAAAATTTTACTCATTATAAAGACACGATTCTCACTGAAAAGATCCGGATACGCTGGACAAAGCGTCAATGTTCGGAATTGAGATACTATGCCTTCCCACATAGCACTCACAAATGCCAACCCCTTGATGTTTCATATTTCAAGTGCCTGAAACATTTTTATAATAAGGCATGCAGGAACTTTTTTCATCACCATCCAGGAAAGGGGATCACCTAAGAAGACTTCGGACTTCGCAGAAATATTCAAGCAAGCTTTGGATAAGTCTGCTACATCAGGCAATTTTGCCAATGGCTTTCGAAAAGGTATAATATACCCATACAATCCCGATATTTTGGAAGACAATGTGTTTGAATATGAACTCATGTCCACTGCAAATGGCACCGTTCCAGTTATTTTAAAGGAAGACGATAATATCCAGAGGTCATCATCACCATCACCATCTACGATATCAGCTTCTACATCATTTTCGGAATTATCCCCTGTACTTGTAGTAAAGAACCACTCTGTACGGAATAGGATAAAAAAACAAGAATCAGCCATTATAACATCCGCAGAATACAGGAGTCAACTGCGCAGTTAAACACCAATACAGGGACCTAGACGCCAGGGAGGAACTCATCCCAGTACCTCAAGGGATCTCGAAGACAGTGAAAATTACTGTGGCGAGTGCGATGGGTACTATTTTGATGATACTGCCAGACAGAAGTGGGTGAAATGTGTTGGAGAGTGTAGTACGTGGCTCTATGAGGCGTGTGTAGAAAATGGGAATCGACCCCAGTTTACATGCAAAAAATGTACTTACAAAAATGTTACATACAAAAATGTAGTTAAAAGGGAGGATATATATTGTTGCATTGCTTATATGTGTTTAGTCCGTCAATGTTTCTTTTTCCATAGTGCGTTGTCCTTATTTCTTAAAAAAAAAGCCATTGTTCTGAATTCTACCTGCCGCCCGGTAGATACCTGTCGAGATATTCCGCAGTTAAGGGAGAAGTGGACATCTGGCTTTTATGTTTTTTGTTGCATTTATATGACCTATGATGTTTTTCAGGTAAGCCAAATTTTCATAATGTGTTATTAATACAGGAATATATATATTTTCTGAAAAAATAAATAATAAAATCCTTAAATGTTAACCAGTTATTCATAATTTTACCTTAAGGTGTCGAGATGTCCCTGAACGACCTTATTTAAGCATCCAGGGTCAAGCACGGTCACTCCGTATTAGTTGGAGAAAACACGATTCAATCTGAAAAACCGCAGAACTTCTAGATGGCCCAATCGCAGGAGCTACGTAAATACTCCTGCTAGTCATATAGTACCTATTTTATTGGCTAGTTTCACATGATAATAAATACACTGAAGTTAGTTCGTATTTATTATAAAATCTTCTTAATGTTTTACGAATGTGTGTCATTAATCACAGCAGTTGATAAGAGTTGTTTCTCATCACATATTTATTAAATACGATAATTATTGTGAATAAAAGTGTAAAATCTGAGCATCAGAATATGGATCCATCCTTGAATATTGTCTTGAAAATTTTAATGAGTAGGAACTCTATCGAGTATCAGAAGTAAAGAATTAAATACAAAAATCACTCTTTTACAGTATCATATTCAGCACACCCAGTTGTTCTGCATTTAAGTGACTTACTGTTTTTAATCTGTTATACATTTTAATATAATTTAAATTTTGTTAAAAACTCAGATAATAGAAAATATAGAAATGCAGGAAATTCAGACAATAGCATGAAAGATTTATTAGAACAATTCTGTGAATTGTATTTCCAACAAAAAATAAAAATGAAATTTGTTCTCCATGTTAACGAAATGAAATGTTCTAAGTCGTTTTTGTCCCAGATCAAGGAAACTGCTAGCAATCATAACCGTCACATGAATATCCATGTGATACAACATATTTCTGTGGAATACTCAGAACCTTGACAGTTTGCACAGGATATGTCACTACTTTTACTGGCTGTACATAATGGTATTGTGGGTATTCTTTCTCTTCGTAGATAACCCCAGCTACAGCAACGCCGATGACCAGAAGAAAGACCTGTAATAAAAGTACCACAGTTAAAAAGTAATTTTAAAAATTATAAAAATGGACCCTTACAGATTTTGTAAAAATGTTTTTGCTAGAGTTTTAATGTGTGAATGCGATTGCCAATAAAATCTAAAACTTAAATGTGAATGATGCATCATCACTTATGATGGCCGTGGCAAGAAAATAAGTACAGGTTATGATTACGTTACTGATATTTTTCTTAAAATGATTCAATCTTTTGTTTGAAAATACTTTAATCAGATCTCCTTAAGGCTGATAAAACGGGAAGCTCTTGAACTAAAAACTTTATTAAATATTATTTAATATTCTTGAATTAATTTTCAAAGGACTTTCACATTTCCACCCATTATGTACTGTGTATTCAATGTTACAGCTTTACTTAGTTTATAAAATGTTTACCGCGAAGAATTTTAAATATGTTTCTTGACTTTACAGAAGATATCCATATTCATTCTCATAATTAATGTTCTTGCTTTCTATCGCAATCTTATAATTTAATTTTTGAAATTAATGTTGTATTGGCGCATGTTAATCTGCAACTTATGTCTTTCTTTAAAGGGATATTTTCACACCAAATTAAATTCATATTTGTGTTATTTAATTTCATGCTTTGAAAATTTTTCGATATGTAAAATTCAGTCTAAAAATACTTGCTACAAAAATAATTATATTACATTAATTACACTATTATAAATAATTAATTTACCACGATTATAAATAATTGTGATACTTATACAGAACTAATCACATTCTGTATAAATATCGCTTTATTACACGCCTGCTCGTATAAATGTTGAATATGCATAAAATGAATTCTATAATAGTTTTAGAACATAGTTTTTGTAAATGCCTCTGAAAAATAAATTTAACACGAATCTTCGAATTCAGTTTATACTTTTGTACTTAGAATAACTGCTCCAGAATTAAGCAAGCAATTATATTTAATGCCATACTTCTAAAACGCATGATATTTGTAATAAAGTGGTTGTTTTTGAAAAATTTTTAAATGAACTGTAGTGAAAATTTTAATTATATCACTTTTTAGACCTTTAAATAATATAGACTGAGATATGCACAACATACTGAAAAATGTAAAAATGATTTTCAGTTTTAGAGGTTGTCTTAAAACGTCATAAGAAATAACCAAAGAAAAAATTATTTTCAAACCATAAGAATATGTATAATTTCTATTATATTCCGTTATTTTAAACGAAGCAAACCGAAAAAGGGGGATCTTGAATCACCAATAGTTAAGAAATAGAAATAGTTAAGAATAAATTTTGACTTTAACATGGTAGTTTAACATTTACAATTTAAACATAGCTGGAACTTATAATAATACTTCGAACCCTAAATTATCCATTAAATTAATTTCAAACATAAAAATGAGAATCAGATTTCTTTTTAATAAACATTTACTTTAATGACTTTAATTTTGACTTTAAATATTTATTAATATAGCAGACAACTGAGTTAATGTATTGATATAATTAAAAGTTTTCTGAAAATTCATATTTAATTATTATGTCATATTCGTAGAATGAAATCTGAATTTTAACATTCTTATGAAGACTTTTATGAGTTAATGCTCTAAAGCGGAAGAACAGGCTTCTATTGAGACTGTAATACTGCAATTGAAACAAGTTATCTCCCTGGCAATTTTTAGCAGTGGAATGTCTGTCAGGATGGCCAAAATGTTTCTTTGTGTGGAAAACGGTAAAAAGCAGCCTTAAAAATGATTCAACATGTTACAAAAGAAAAATTTAAAGGTTACAGATTTTAACGATCGCCCATAAGGATGTGTAAAGGTTCGTTACGCTCTCTCTAAGTTTGCAGTCTGTCTACCTGTCTGTTGCGCTCACTCCTGCTAACCCATTTCTTTTTGTCTTTTTAGCTTTATTATTAAGCGTCATTTTCTTCGCACTTACGCCATATACGATTCGATAGCATACATGTTCGAGTTTCCTAGTAAGATGGCTCAAAAAACTTTTTTTTTTTTGTCTTTTTATTACTAAAGTTTTGTGTTTTATCTTTACTTATTAAATATCACGTTCTCCTCACTTAGGCCACATGCAATTCAATTCACCAGAAGAATCACAAAATATTTAAAAACAGCATTTCTTTAAAATTTCCGATAGACAGTCCCTACCGTTGGAGATAAAAACGTTCTATTTCATACAATGTTGCTATTGCTTGCTTTCAAATCGTTGAGTTTGTTAATCAAAAATTCAATAAAAGCTTACAAAATACGAAATATAAAATTCGAAATTCAAAATTCGGGCTTTCTACGTTGTTCTGCGTTATTCAAAATTTGATGGTACCATTGTTTTTTTATAATGCTAGGAACATGCATATATACATGCAGATTCTTCATTATTTAATTTCTTTAAAATAATACAGGGAGGTAATATCTGAAAGCAACAATTTGAAAAGTGATACAGGCGTTTATAGCGATTCAATGCAAAATCCTGTTTCAAGACTACTATCCCATTTGGGCTAAAAATGAAGCATATTTTTACCATAAAATAAATATATCTATTACATAAATGCTATGGCTTACTAAGAAGTGATAACAAATTACTTTGTAAGAAATAAATTTAAATGATTAGAATTACATTTTTCTAAAAATCTTTGTATGCGCACTTCTTTGTTAGATGAGAATATAAATGAAAAATTTGAATTCACGTAAGCATTTTTCAGGAAATTAGTACGCATATAATTAACCACAAACTTGCGTATTTTAATTAACCCGGTGCAGTTTATTTAATTATTGAAAACTATAGGGATTTTGGATAATTTTTTAAATAACTCTTACATTTATAGAAAACACTTTGCTTTTCAGTTTGCTATTAAAATACGAATGTATTAAATAATGAAACGTTGGAATACTTACCATGAATTTGAGCATGTTTTTTAGCACTGAACGTCCAAAGCTGTAAAGGAACACTGATATTTGTTTATCTTTTTATCTTTTTCTCTTCGAATGAGTAGAGTAGCTGCAGAAATCCTTTTATAACAGTCAAGAGAATCCACGTGAAGTTTCCTGGCCGTAAAATTATTCATTCAATACCTTATCTAGTCTTTGAACCGAAAATAGGTATTTTCTTGATCCGTTTAGTATTCGTCATTTACAATGACATAGATTTACTGCTATGATCATATAACACTGATTAACTTCTATTTTGTATTAGATTTCATGATATAAGTAAGATATTACAGGATTTTTAATATCACGAAATATATCTTACATAACATTAATTTGCTGCAGGTATATATGGTTGTTATCTACCTAATTTATACATATTCTTAAATGCAGTAATTAAAACTCTTTAAATGCTGTAACAATGTTTACGAAGATAAAGAATATTTGAATTGTTTTGTTACATGTGCTAAAGAATAGTGAATGAACCCTAAACTCCGATGGCACTATGATGAAATACTGTATTGTAAAGAACACAGTTATCAGAATAAAATATACAGAAAACGTTGAAATATAAGTAAAACATTCAAGACAAACTTGGAGAAAATGAGCACAGGAAGACGACATATTGAGATATCTGTGTATAAAAATAAAAATCTGTCGAATCCTTAAGGTTTTCGGAGATAAAACGATCTTAAAACTGCCTAACGGTTAAATTATTACGGATTATAAGTAAATTATTACCTATAATACCGTACGTTAAAAAGTTGTATTTACTACACTGTTTTTTGTTAGTTTTTTAGCGTCGTATCATGTTTATGGGCAGACCTACTTGATTCTGAAAATTTAAATCTTGACATATCATTATTTAGAAAACTTCGTTTTAAGAAATCATTTTGATAAATATTATGTTATTCAATGTGTTAAAAAACTGTACTATTAGCCACTGTTAATAAACAAAAGATGGGCTTCCGTAATGCAACAACGATTATTTACACTATAAGGTATTTCTCCCGCTTTCTTAGTATACCTTCGTGGTGCAATGGCCAGTACACTCAGTTCGTACTCAAGAGTTCGAGGTTTGAGTCCCGGCGAGGACATAACGTAGTACGTAAAATTTTGTACTAATAATTATGTACATCTGTAATAAAACTAGTTACCTGTTTTATGTAAGTGTTATAAACATTTCACCTTATAGATTACTTTACCGTTTCTGCAGTAAACGAAATCTGTTTTCCGCTCTAGGAGTTTTCTTAAGCTTTCTTAAAGAGTTGTTATTTTTAGAACTTATGCTATCCTTTTTTCTGCGCTAGAGTACTTCGATTCTAAACGCCTTAATACGGTGTTTCAGCGCACTCATATAAAACATATTAGTATGTATAAGAAGTTTATGTTTGATTTGAATTATGTAACATGTAATTAGTAAATATATGGAATTCATTTATCATGTAAATAAATTTCTATAATATGTAACTTAAGATAGTAAAAACTCATACATCTTTCACTTTTCAAGACGATTATTTTTCAGATTGTAAAATACATAAATTTCTACTAATATAACGAATAAAAGTAGCAAACTATGCTCCAACTTTTAGAACGTCCTTAAAAACGCTATTTTATATATTCTCGTTAAGATTTATCGCATTCCGTCGAGCATGCTTTTGTAAGTGGTTAGTCCTTTAAGGCTTCCGTACTGAAAATGCTTACAGTCTTCAGAAAAATACTTACAGGTTTTAATGCTTCTCACTAATTTCTTTAATATATATTCATTATTGAGATTTTTTTAACCAATTGCGGGTCCTCAGGTGACTTCGGCTTGAAGCAACTAACTAAGGCCGGAATTGGTGGTCACTTTATTATGGGGACACCTAATAGGTGGGCCACCTTTGCCTCCTATGAAGGAACGCACAGTTACAGCCATTTGTTTTCTCAGAGTTTCGAACCTGGGTCCTTTGGTATCGCAGTCGGCTTACCTAACCACTGTACCGTCTGATGGGCGACGTATTATTATTGAGATATTAGACTATATTTTTAACTGTTCAGTGAGAACAGTTTCAATTTTAGCGCCTCGAAAGGAGCAAAAATTAAAGTTTCTGCATTTTATATTGTAAGTATGAACAAGCTGTAAACGTTTCGACTTAGTATAAAATGTAAATGTCGAAATGAAAAACATTTGAAAATAATTAAACAGAGAAATTTAAAATAAAGAAAGGACTCTTAGTTATTTGATTTAACACCTGAACTCTTTTCCATCATAAGCAGACGTATTACATTTCTAAGGTCTGTCTAAAGGTTTGTGATTTTATTTGCAGTTCCCGACTTTGGATACAGTTTACACTTTATCAAAGAGTGCAAAAATTAAGGTTGGAGATGAAAATATTGTCATAATAGGGGAATAAACAAGAATACGCAACAAAAACATCAATCAAGAGATTACCTGTGGTCGGGTACGATACAGCATGCAAAAATACGTAAAATGACAAATTGTGGGCACCTGCGAAAGGCAAAAAAAAAGCACAAATGCGGCGTATGTTTACTCCCAAGTGAAAGCTGAAGCGCGCATCAATTTAAATGACACAGAGTTACTACTTTGTTGATGCGTCATCTCCTGATTTCTTGAAAATGGTAATATTTACTGACATCCCCCCCTTGAGTAGTACGACAAGTCCTACAAACATAATTAAGGTTAACTAAATCTGTTGGATAATTTTAAAAGGTATACTAACTGTTATTAACTTAAATTACTACCTGTTTGTATAATGCCAAGACATGTTTCTCAATATTTTCATACATTTTTTATTTGATACTGGCGTCTATATAAACGGAAAAAGCAATTTACATTTCTTTCTTTTGATGGTAATTACTACTTTGATGCATAAAATGTGTATAATGTAAAGAATCGAGGTTGTATGTCATCTGAAGTGTATATTTTAATAGAAAATGAAGATAAGTTAATTAATGATACCGAATATTTGTTCGCAAGTTAAACTAATAACTACCAATATTTAAATTCCTTAAACGTTATTGTATAATGACCATCACATCACACAGGGAATATAAGTACATATAGATTTATAGTTGTAATTTATTGTCTGTAGAATGCTATTATCTTACTTATGATCTACTTAAAGTGTTTGATAGAGATCCAGATATTACTGCGTTAAATAACTTGTGCTAATGCGATATAAATTCTAATATATAATTCTAAAATTATGACTATAGAAATAATTCTAAAATTATGATTATCGAAATAAAACATACAATGGTTATGGAATGCAGAGACAAATGAAGAAAAATAATAATGCTTCCTTTACACTCTAGAAAGTGTGATGTTTCTATTTATTTACTTATTTATTTTTTATTTAAAATTATTTCATGGTCAGAAGAAAGGTAAAATATTCTTCCCAAGGCAAAAGATTCCTAATTGACTTTGTTCAATGACTCTTTCTCAAAATGAAAGAGGAAACTCTCAAAATTTAATTCAGTTTTATTATAGCACTTTATTTATTGGTTTCAATGTAGCTGTTATTTCCTTATTAACTATTATTATTTCTCGATTTGCAGAATAATTTCATATTTTCTGTTGTGCTAAAATAGCAGGTTTAGCCTTTATAATATTAGAAGAGCCAGGTAAAAAGATAAATTCCATTTAAATTTATCCCCGTATAACATCTCTGCGTTTTTGTAAGGTCTCGCTGACATGTTAAAAAGACAATGAAATCTATCTAGCTCAGATGGTCTTTATAACTTATTAAATCATCACATTAAGATTCAGTAATGTTATTTTTTAAAGCCTTAATTCATTAAATTGTTTTCCTTTTCTCAGTCTCTCAATATTTTCAATCAATTTTGTTAATAGCCTTCTGTTTTAATTTGGTTTTTCCAACAGATGAATAAGAAACTCATTACTTTTTTATTCTTTTAGTGTTTGTTTGCTTGGGTATTCTGGTCAGCCATCTTTTTTCCAAAGCACATTTGTCCAAAGCTCTATAGATTCCACTCCTCTCCTCCGAAGCTAGTAGGAAACCTTCTAAAAATCAGGTCTCCACCAAACCACCTAAAAAATCGTCAAACTTTCTCTTGTCTTTCCTAAGTTTTCCAACGAACGCTCTCATCTTGCTTTCAGTGCTGTCGTAGAGTTTCGCCAGATTGGTTTTTGTAAGGCAAAAAGTCACATTCTTCACTACGAGAGTGAATAAGTCTCGCATGTAAATTTGTACATGCAAGTCATTGCGTCCAAATCGCTCTTTTAATTGTTCAGCAGCTTTCAAGTTATTGTCTGCCGTCATCAGAAAACGATTTATAAGCTACACTGCACGAGAATTTGGAAAAACACCTTGCGACAAATACTGGAATTTATCCTCTAAAAGTATTTGGAAAATTACCTCTAAAATACTAAATATTCTCCTACATCATCTGAAAATTTCTTTATGTTTAATTTTGGAGTTTAAACTTTCATAAATTTTATTTACATTTTCCTCAGTTGTTATACTTTCCCTAACAGCTTCATTAACTGGCATCGTGGAGAATATTCTTTTGGAGATAAGATTTTTGCCTACTTTGGAGGTGAGATTTTTGCATTTAGTTACTGCTTGCTGCAAACCTGCAGTAAGTGATGTTGTAATTAAGTATCAGGAGATTTTAAACGAAGATTTAAGGTTGGAATTTTCAAACAAGCGTTAAAGTTTGGGAAAGCCGTGTGTTCCAAATAGATATTTTATGTATGAATTAACAAGAGAGTATGAACCTTTTAGAGGATTTTTGATGGATTGTGGATTATTGACGGATAGAGTTTGTTATAAAAATGTAAGATACTATGCGGGTTAGTTAGTCAGAAAAAGTTATCCAATGGTAGTATTTGGAGATGCAAAAAGCATGGGGCTGAGATGTCAATTAGGCTGAGATCTTGGTTCGCCTGTAGTAAGCTTAATTTACAGTTAATTACTTCGGTAAACGTTTACAATTGGGTGCCCCTTGTTTATTCGCGATTCTTGTATGATGCCAAGAAAGGCTCCAGGCACAATTTCAAGATGGCTGCTACAGAAATCCAAAATAAGAAGTCAAG